GTGTGTATAACACAATACCACAAGGGGGGGTGGCATGTTCAGTTTAAATGGGGGTCCCATTACTAACAGCTGTAGGCAAACCCGATAAGATCGCTGTTGTAAGCAGAGGCTGGGGTAAGAAGAGAGTGTGGTTAGTACCAACGCTCTCCCGATATTGGATTTTGACCTGTTTATATAGCAGTGGATCCTTCAAGCGATCACTCTACTACATAAAAACAAAGGATTTAAGAAAACAATTCTTGTCTTCCTCCAAAAGCCAGCCTTCTTTTTTCCCTACTTTGAGGATTGCGAGAAAATGGCAACTCTGAAACAATGCAAAGATCTGTGGCTCTAAAGACGCTCAATTGAGGCAAAAGTATGGGTCAATTTTCAAAGGGAATGCGTAGAAAGAAACGAGTAGCCGAACTCCCCTATTTGGGAGCAATACGGCGACTATGCGGTCGTCATCTGCGAAACCTTGAGAAAATACGCCGAAAGGCCAATTATAAAGCCTCATGGATGAACTAAAGCGTCGCATATGTAAACGAGCAGACATAACTGACCACCTGGAGAGGAAATCGAAAGCGATGTTAAGCTCGTGGCGGAAAAAGGTCCTAGCCTAGACCACATCAATGTGTATTTAATCCCTGACGTGCTCCTGTGAGGCAGAATAAATACCACAGGCCAACTTTTGTGAAAAAAAAGAATGGGAAAACATCTCGTAGGTTAGGAAAGGACCAAAATAATACTAAAAAGTCATACTCGTGAATAAGGTATACAGAGACTACAATTGCCCTATGAAATGCCGCAAATCCCAATGATGACACCTTGACATGGTGATGTGAACCACCATTAAATAAATTTTCTTGCGACCGCTGCCTTGTGGTTAGATTATTGAGCCAAAATACTGAGGGGGACAACCGCGAACAAACAACCCGATCGACTTTATTCAAAATCCTCAAGAAACTCCATGCAAAATGCCTACTTACTCTCGGATAACTTTCACTTGGAACAGTTCCACATTCTAAACATTGCATCGAGCATCTAAACACTGCATCGAGCATATGAGAAAGCAGCCGATGTTTATCACTAGATTGGCCAATTTTACTAAAAACGGTCAATGAACATTGCTGACAAGGAAAAGGGAGACTGAAATGCCCAGTTCTGGTTCATTAATCGTTATTAGCCAGTCATACCCAAACCCAAAAGGGTAGGCTGCTGGTGGGGCTTGAGGGGGAGCTCCAAGGCATGACGGGACGAGTAAATTCCGTAAGCGATCGATGAGCGTTCAGCAACGAATCTACTTATTAAATTCAACTATTCGCAGGTAGCAAAAGCGGCTTACCTTCTCTGAAAAAGGCTGTTCGGAGTCCGTTGCAGTGGAAAGGGTTTCATTAGGTGGCAACTTTGGTGGCGGAGCAGCATCAGGCGACGAGGAAGTGACCTCCGTATGTGCTTCGATCTGCGATTCCGCAGCCATCTCCTTCTTTTCCATGCCATCCGTCATCTCTTCGCTCACCCCAGTCACCTCCACAGCCGCCGCTTCAGACGAGACTAACTG